CCAGGATGTACTCGTATGCTTGCTAATGATCCATAATGTTCGAAAGTTCTCTAGAATGCTCAATAGTATTAGATTATGTTGGAGATTATTCCAGAATGTTCAAGAATGCTCTAGAATGTTCTTGAATGTTCCTAGGGTTTACGTTAGGGGATTCTTAGGAGCATATTTACAGATGCTAGGGGGTGCTACCAGGGTGTTGAAATCAGTGAGGGTTTGGGCAAACACTACATTAACAACTAACAGACTTTACACCAGAGGCGATCAGAGTGTTGGAACCAGTGAGCTCATGTAGTGGACATATATTTATAGATGCTTACTGATGTTGACATCGCTGTTAAATTTCGCAAACACAGATTTTATAGTGGATAACATAACAAACAATGAGAGACGTAGGAAAAATATATATTGATAGTTCTTGTCGTATTCATAGGCATTTTCAGTTCTTGAAGAAAATAAAGATGCCTCATACTCTTCACGTTACTTTACGAGCTTCTTGACATTAAAAGTATGATTACAATGAACACATCAATATGGTGACCAGAATAGAATAAGAAAAAAACAGGGCTATATTTTCAAGAATGACAATCTCACTGATATATTGAAGACTGGAACCTTTGGCATGATAATACACTACACACTGCTATACCACTAACCAAACCGATTTTTTACACTTTGACACGTGTTTCGCTAACAAAATTAGTATCTTCGGAGATTAAAACTGAATGCTCTATCGTAGTGGGCTACTTATATAATAGGTATATGTCCACCCAACCGTGAATAGACAATAACCGCCAAGTTAATGTTATTCATGGTTGAGTTCACATGTTAACCTTGGTCTTATATTACTAAACTATACAGAGGTCTAAATGGGACAGGTCCATTATCCTTATTCTATTACTATTCTTAAATATCTCTAAGCTTTCATATGTATTTAATTTTCTAACATCATTAACTTGCTTAATTAATTTGAGGCTATTAATATGTGTTATGATTGTGATTGAACATGTGTTCGGCTACACACGATTTATTTAAGCTACCATATTTCAAATGTGCTGAGTGTTCTTTGAACCTTGTTTTATCAAAATCATTACAACTAATTTCGTATACTCCTGACTTTTGAAGTGTGTCCACCTTGTCTTTTGGATTATCTAATAAACTGACTAACTTTGACCCAGACTGATGAACGGTTTCAAAACCTAAGTCTTTGAAAACCTCATCAAGTCCTATTGTGTACTTGGGATTGAAAGGGATTGGGGATTCTGCTTTAATTAATCTACTGATATCATGACCATTGACGCCAGCCACTTTATAAACAACACTCCTTTCAATATCGAATCTTTGTTTGCTCAGAGGAAATGAAACTAGTCTATGGGCTGAGAAAATTTACTTGCCATTTTGTCTTAAAACAGTGATTGGAGTCCTTAGTTATGTATCTAAGTGTGTTCTATGAACATCAAATTCTATATTGTTTTCGCCAACGGTCAATTACCATGCTTAGATGTTCTTGTTATCAAAAATGGCGAAAACAAATTAGAATTTGATGTTCTTAGAAAAGAAACTAAAGCACTCAGATACATAACTATTGATTCCAATCACTGTTTTCAACACAAAATGGCAAGTTTAAATTTCCTAGTACATAGACTAGTTTCATTTCCTCAAGTAGTCATGTTGCGAGTGACATTTTTTTTTGTACAGAAATAGCTCAGAAGTCTGGAGCACATTGCCAGTTCAAAAACTTTGGAGAGAGATGTAGTAAGTATAAACTATTCAGATTCCGTCACTGTCGCGCATAGTTGAGTTAATATCAACGTTAGATTTTATTAATTGAACAGTAGATACTCTCATTCCAGAATTGTACCTGTACGGAAAATAACTATAAAACGTTGTTGGAATATTGAAACAGTTTATTGAAGCAAACGAAAGTATAAAAATGAAATATTTAAGAAAATGAGCAGTACCATGATATTTAGCTTTTGGCTGGTTTGTCATCTTCGAATTTCTGTTTTTTTTTTTCTTCTTGCTATTTCTGTTTCGGACGGTGGTCCAGATTGATTCCTACGAGGTCAGCAAGACAATCCTTCACGATGATTTCTTCTGCTGACGGCAGTCGGTTGAACCTTAATTCTTCTGCCTCTGAATATTGACTGATTTGCAAGAATCAGAAACATTTCAATTTTGTTTAGCTCATTGTTCAATAGTCCCAGCATTTTCTTCATATGGCTACCTTGATTGGATGAAAATATGTGCCTTATGTTTTATTTGCTGTTCTCAAATTTATTCTATGTGACTATTTAGATGCCGTCACTATACCTATGTGCAACAGGCGTTTGAGAAATTCAACACCAGTGTCAACAATTAGCATCTATGAATGTATGCCCACCACAAACGCACACTGGTTTCAACACCCTGCTGTCAACACACGCTAGCATCTATAAATATGCTGCCCGGGATTGAAGATTGTTCGCCCTGAAAATCCCGGGATCCCGAAAATAAATGTTCCAGAATGTCTCAGTCTCCCGGAATGTTCTGAAACGCCGAAGGAGTTCCTGGACTCCCGATTTTGAAATCTTTGATATGATCATTCATTTCAGCTTAATATTGTATTACTTGGCCGCGTCTATAATCACGCTAACGTGGACCTTGTTTTTAGAATCCCTCCACGCTAAATGCGTCATGAAGGCAGTGAAGTCAATGTTTCGCGTGGAACTTTTCCTCTTGATTAATCCACGTTAATTTAGCGTGGAGCATCCCTAACGATCAATCCACAATAATTTCGCGTGGAGCATTCTCTTAGATTAATCCAAACTATTTCGCATTGAGAATTCCATTGTGGTCAATCCATGGAGTATAATATATCTACTGCCACGTTCACAATGACTCGATAGAAGATGTAATGAAAATATCCATTTCTCACCGGCGCAGCATCGACTTTTTTCAACTGATTTTGCGCAAAAGTCAACTTGTTATACATCATTGTAATTTTGAAGAAGTTGAGTCACTGTCATTAGTTGAAATAATTGGAGAAAAATGTTAGTGCCACCTTTTAGTATAATAATAATAATAATAATAATAATAAAGGCTTTTATTGACAGGTACGAGTTTCTAACACTATGGAGCACAACTAATCAGTGGAACAAAAAGAAAAATAGAAAAAATTTAATTCATAGTTCAACCACCCTATGCTAGAATGAAAGCTACCTGTCAAATGGCAGGGTTCAAAAAGTGTCCTAAGACAAGTTTTGCTCTTCCACCCAACCAAGTATACATATTATAACATATACCTATTCACATATACACCTATATAATTAAGTAAGTATATCGTATACAATAACTATACGTGTACTTCTAATCGAATCAGTTTTCGAACTATGTAGCTATGAGTTATTCTAATCAACTATTATTAGATATCAATATCAAGAAGAAATCAACTTAACATGAATAATGAAAAAAAAAAAAAAAAAAAAAAAGAACTAACAATAATACTCATCACCTATCAACTTCCATACAAATTTACTTCGCGCATAAATCATCGAGTTTGCCATTAATAAGGTCTTCCTTAACTCGCTTCTTGAATGAAGTTAGAGGTAAGTGTTTGTATTCTTCAGGAATCCTGTTGTATAGCCAGGGTAAGTAAAATGAATAAGATCCACGAAATAGAGATGTTCGGTACTTTGGAGGGCTGAGTTTCGATTTAAATCTCAAATTCAAATTATGTACATCGGTTCTATAAGCAATTTTATTATATAAGTATGGTGGTTTTTTTGATAATAAAATTTTATGAAAGAGCACTGCTGCGTGTAGGACACGCCTAGCGGACATACTTAACCACCCAATACTTTTCAGATGATGCGACACATGATCTCTTCTTCTTGCTCCTGTGATGAAGCGAATACAAGTATTTTGGAGTTTCTGCAGCCGATATTTATCTTCATTTAGAATCCCGGGACTATAAATAACATCGGCATAGTCAGCATGCGATAACACTAATGAATTGCATAAAGTGATTTTTATATTCCTGCTCAGATCTGGTGAGGTATGTCATATCCTTTTTTGTTTTTGAAAATCAATGCTTGTTTATGACAAAAAATATATTATATTAGTTGGATTAATTCCCGACACGAAACTACCATGGATTTATCACAAGGGATTTCTCTACGCGAAATAGCGTGGATCAATTATAAGGGAATACTCACGGAAAACTGGCGTGAATTGATCATATGGGAATGTTTCACGCGAAATTAGCGTGAGCTAATCACAAAGGAATGCTCCACGCCAAATTTGCGTCAATTAATCATGAGGTAAAGATCCACGCGGAACGTTGATCTGTGTCACTAATTTTAATAACGCATGTCGCGTAAAGGAATTCTTAAAACAAGATCCACGTTATCGTGGTTCTAGACACCACATTTTTTTTCCAATTCACATCTGATCAGAGCAAGCTAGCCCCCTAGTTTTGAATATGTTCAAGTCAGTTTATTGAAAATAGGTCAATGATTAACTCAATGGTCAACCATTTTTCTTCAAGCATTCACTTTTAGTTTATATGTCTGAACTGAAATCGATTATCATTATCATTTATTGTTCGATTTCTTCACTGCTCATTTCAGAGTGAAATATTCTTGAATAGGTTGATAATATTCTCGATGAAATATAGTAGCTCATAAAAAAAAGTCCAAGTTTCCTATCAACAATCGTTGGCTTCGGAAAAATCAGACAGAAGATGCGTGATTCAACAAATACAAAAATGAATTAGAATAATATGCATAGTAACACAGAGAACAATAGGAAAAGACACCAGGAAGATATTTGTTTTTAATCATATGAAGATATTTGATCTACAATCTTTTTGAAAATCAAATGCAATGATTTCTTCCCCATAAGAGAAAAATAGATTGGCTATCCATTTAATTCAGGGGATACTGAAAATACCATTTTAAGCAACATGCAACTAAATATTAAAGCTCTAATCAGCCAAATGTCTACATGCTAAGCATATTTACCATCATCTGTAGAAGAGGAACTTTTATAAATGTTCCTATTACTTTTTGTACTGTTCGCTAGTTTCATGGCATCTTCTTTGACAATGTAACTCATTGCCGAAGTAGTCTCATACGACTTGAATGATGCAATCCTTTTCTGAAAAATAAATATATGTGAATTAGAAATGATTTGGGTGTATAATACGATCAGGGTGTGTTCGTGCGTGCCGCTAAAACTCCTCAGCCCATCCCAGCATTCCCATGTGGAATATATTTTTTATTTTTTTATTTATTTTTATTCATTTATTCATTCACCCAGATGAGACAAAAACATAACATGTTGAAATGTAATAAACTTATACGTACATCAATTGGGCAAATATGAGTGGACTTCAGCTACGCTGATCTTCCAGTCCCCCATTAGGAATAATAATGATAAAAAACTATGTATCTACCAAAAACGAATCAAGTGATGCCTGATACTGAGATAACTAAATCTACCCTATCAATTGGAATACTTGACATATTGATTGAATCAACAGAAATCGAATAATGAACGATATTCATAATCCTGAACACGAAGATAAGGCGATACCATTATAACATCATATCGAATATACTGTAGAGTTTCCTTATACATATATTTTATATATATATATGGTATGATAGTCTAACATCCCCGATACATTAAGGTCTCGGTTCAGAAAAGAAGGCTGCGTATTGACCAATATATATTGTGTTTTTGATATTTCGTGGACAGTTTGGTGACTAAAAGTAGCGACTGCTAATAGTATCCAAAAATGTATGAACAATGATACCTACCCGTGATAATATGTCGTTGAAACCCTGTTCGAGATATCAATGTCTACAAATTATTCATGGTTCAAACGATCAGGACTTAAAAAAGCTCTGCCAAGTTGTAAAGTCTTCAAATGATATTTCATATTGGCAGTGTTTTCTTTGTCACCCAATTCAACAAAATAATTTTGACAGATTTCGCAAATTGAATATTCGTTTTCCTTTTTCAATATTATTCTAAAAATTACTTGTTCTCGGCATTTTGTCACAATACAAAAAAAAACACCTCTGAGTTTACTTTTAACAAATACCATAATACACTTCAAATAGTTAAAAACTTCAGCCTCCATTCAAGTCTGCACTATTATGTACCACAAACAAACAAAGTAAAGCAATAATCAAAAGTATCATGATAGATGACAAATACAAGGTTAGGTGAGGACCTGCCGAAACGTGCGATGATGATAGCGATAAGTGCATTCAGCAATATCGAGAAATGTCACCCGGACGATCAACGTAACAAAATTCACACAAGACATTTCAAAATAACGAATAATGGAGTCGGTAACGTCATCATCCCATCAACCTTTTCAGTGAGAAAACAATGTAATACTTGTTAACTTGTGGTTTTTATATTTAAACTTGATCCCTTTTGCCCATTCCACTCTTTCCCTTTCCTTCATCAAATTTGTCAATAATCTGTGAACAGGAGCCATAGATACCTATAAAAGAAACAAAGTCCTAGATAATTCATCACCCTTTTCTCTGAAACGAAGAGTTTTCGGAACATTCTTATTTTGTTACTCGAAATCCGACTTTGAAATTTAGTGAAATATATATGTAAATATATATGTAAAATATGTATATGTATATGTAAAAATCATGTGAACGAAGATTATGTATAATTGCCACCAAGTATTTTGAAAGCAGCATCATCAACAGTCGATAACCTTTGCAGTAAATGAAATTACAAAAGTACTTTATAGATAAGTTTTGAACCATATTCTATCTAAAAGTAATGGACTCACCATTTCAGTCATTGACAGCTTCAAACATTTCGTTGGAACATTCATTCGTTCTTCAATCAAATCATGATTGACATGATCATGGTATTCTTTCTTTGTAATAGGAATCAGAGCTTTCTTCACTACAAAGGATAAATATAGTTACCTCTATATAATTTTCAATATTTCAATGTAGAGTGTTCAACAATGATTGAGTGCCACGCTCGGTGCCACGTAATCATTCTTGGGGAGGCATTTTTTCCATATATGTTAAAAACATACGAATGTATTCTTGGTGCATAGTTATCTGTCATGTGGCTCATAATCTTTGTTGAAGACCCACTATTATCTCACCTTTGTTCTCGATCAACTTCTGGCATTTTAGTTTGATTTGTTTTATTTCTACATCGTTATCAGGTTTGGTTATCACCTTTCTTGAAACTTTCGTCCGCGGCATCTGAAATAAGTAATTGGTGGTTACAATATTGAACCTTGGGAATTTTCTAATTAAATTTAAATCGATAGAGGTATTTGTTTTTTGTTTTCGTGAAGGAATGACTAGTATGATTTTGTGATTTTAGGTCTTGAGCTGAATTTATAGGCCCACCGCTAAATTAACGATATTTTTTCATCGAAAAAAAAAAAAACAATAAGGGAAACTTAAATGCCGCAATGAAGCCTTTTCACAGACCTTATTAGAAAATTTCACAGGGTGATCCCCAAAAGTGTGACAAACCACAAATTATTTTTTTTTAAATGAAACACCCTGTTTTTTATAGTTTTTTCGGAATCTGTGAATTTTTTTGATCACAAAAAAATATATGAAGGGTGATATTTTGTCTAATTAATTGGTGATCACTCGATCAGTTTGGGAATTTATTCGATAATGATGCAATACAACTGTCATCTATGTCCTCATGCATGGCAAACACAATATCTGTAGAAGCCAATACACAAAGTGATATCAGTTCTCTCGAAGGAGTAGTCAGATTGAGACCTCAGAGAAAACCAGTGAAGAGATCAGGGGAGTAGGCAGATTGAAACCCCGGCGTCAAGTCACATACCTTCCGTGATATTAACTGAGGAGTAGGCAGATTGAGACCTCAGTGAAAAATGACTCCCTATATTTTCCAATAACTTTCTTATTTATATACAGGGTGAGTCATGAGGAACTGTACATGCTCCTACTACGAATAGAGGCACCTGAGGGAAATACCAAATGACCATCAGAAAGTGTCTCCGCCTTTTCTAAAATAATCTATAGGGTGATTTATGGATTATGGCCAAACCTTCTTTCAATCATAACTTTCCAACAGTTCTTTCGATTCCTTTCATTTCTTCATGAATTGTTATGCTGTCACTCAGCAATCAACTGACGTATTCAGAATCGTAAAAATCCAGGACCGGTCTTGAGAAATTCTGCCAATTTGGTTCATATCGAAAATTTCACCCTGTATAAGGTTCAAGTAAACTGTGATATGGAATTTTCAAAGTTAATGAACAGGCAACCAAAATGAAGTACTTCAAATTTTCCTCACACTTTCATTGAATTTTTTAGAAAATGATCAATTTATACTACACGCCAAAACTTAGGCAACAAATGTATTAATTTCAAAATTAATACTTCGCAATGCATGAATTTCACGTATAAAAGTAAGGATAAAATTATTTCCAATTCTTCAGCTCAACAATGATCAACATTCTCCTACTTCCAGGGTTGGATTCAGTAATTTTTTGGTAGAGGGTAATAATCACCAAAAATTTCACCCTGTATATGATTTTAGTAAACTGTGACATGAAATTTTTGAAGTTGACGAACAAGCAACCATATTAAAGCATCACAAATTGTCCATACTGTCATAATGAATTTCTTCAAATAATAAGATCAATTATTACCAAACACGAAACTTTAGCAAAAAAATGAATTAATTTTAATATAAATACTTCTCAACACTTCAATTTCACTTATAAAAGCAAGATTGATTCCAATTCCTAATCCCAATGATAATCAACATGACTATAATTTCTAGGGTTGTATTTCTTTTCTTTGTGGAAAGTAATAATCATCCTGTATTTTGTTCTAAAATTTGTTCTATCCGTCATTCGGTATGATGTTATAGTAGGTAATGTGATGGACGAATGTCACAGCTTGAATCAGTTAAATATTCTGAGGTTTTCAATCGATTTGTAATAGAGATTCTGAGTATTTCTGAATATTCCAGATTTCAGTTGATGACCCGTCTGTCGATAGAAATTGCCTGGAAAATTTTTGATTCGAATTTTCATAATATTGCGGATTTCTAAGAAACACTACAAAAGATTTTTGGGTCCATGGAAAATTACTGAATCCAACCCTGGATATAGAAGAATGTTGATTTCCAGAGAGCTGAAGAATAGGAATTGATGTTATTCTTGCTTCTATTCGTGAAATTCTAGCGTTGCGAAGTATTAATTTTCAAATTAAGAGGAGGATACACCATGCATCAGTGCAATGAAAACATGTTTTCTCCGCCCCCACTTTTCATTGTTCAATATTGATTTTTTCGAAAAACAAAAAATATGGTGAGATGGAGAATTGAAATATCTAGGTTTCTCTGGAAGCAGAATTTTGAAAAAATTCACCGATATTCTGCAAAAAAATCATGAACATTGCATTTTTCGAGTATATTCAGAATTTTTTTTTGAAAAAACTAAGACAAAAACTCAAAATCCGCTTCCAGAGAAACATCCGTTCATCCTTTGTGAAGTGCCCAGTATTTTTTGTTTCAAGAAAAAAAAATTTTTAGAGGGGGAAAAGTGGGGGCGCGCGATCCCATGTTTTCCAACATTTCGACACCGATTCCTAGCGTCCTCACCGGAGAATGCTGAAAACTGTGTTTCAATATTGGAATACAGGCTTATTTTGCGTTTTTGAGATTTTACCAGAGGGATTCAAAAAGTAGGACACATTTATACGTTTGTACTTCAGCTATCTATATCATTTTTCATCATTTCTGTTTCTTCATCCTATTCCTTGAGAACTTTTATACTGTCCACAATATCCATACATTATTTTATATTATCGAATGGGGATTATAAGATAATTTCAGCATTCCAGTAAGGAAGTATAGCACGATGTCCGTGAATCCTCCTCTCCGAAATGATAAATAAAAACATCAGATGATGTCATAGGTGCGATGTGAAACGTTTGTCGGCAAAAGGGCGAGCCGCATTTCGGTTGACGATATGGAGACTTTTTTTGAAGCGGCGAATTCCACATAAGTAGAGACTCTCAAGGGCAGAGAAGATATTTTGTATTATATAAAAAATATCGCCTCTAATGGGATTCGTGAAATTTTTGACCAATTGCGGTAGCGGTAGACTTCGCGAGTGTTTCTAGTAATTACTTCGAAGTTCAGGTTTTTGTGATTCATGGGGAGACTCAGATAACCAAATGGTGAACAGCAGATCGGGGTAAAGACGAATTGATATATGTATATATATAATTATATACAGCATGTCTCACTTCAAACGCCCCTCCTCCACTATATCTCAGGTATTATTGCTATCAATCGTGCGATTCTTCTCAAATTTGGACTAGTATGAATTACCATTGATATGATCAGTTTTTAGGAAAAGAAACATCATTATGGACAGTGCCGTGCGTTTTTATTGAAATTGAAATGGGTTTCATGAATCAGGATTTTTTGTAGGAACTAACTTTACAGTATGTTACTCATGTTTTCGAACCTCCATGTGCAAAAATTCAATAATTTCAAAATACTATAGAATGGGTCAAATTTCTCTCTTCATTATCAGCCCCGAATAAATATTGAATTCTAATTAACCGCAAATTCTGGAACGTTCAATAGCACCAGTAGGTAGAAAATTATGGTTCACATAAAAAAAAACAAGGCACAATTTTTTGTTGAACTCATCTTTTCCGAATGAATAATTTTTCAACTCCCATTTTATAAGAAGCGAATTAATTATCTCGGATTTATATCATGATACAGATCTTAACCAATGAAGACATGTTCTTTTCATCATGATAACAAATTTTTGGCCCATAAAAACACGTAGTACTTGGGTATAATCAAGTGGGTCTATGTTTCTATCTCACTTGCTTGAGTTGTTTGACATTTAATTCCAAATGAAAATCATAATGACAACGCGAATTCGTCAAAAGTTCATGCAAATCATGTACTTATGATGTTGGAGAATGCTGAAATATAAATAGTGAGAAATTAATTGATTTTTGGAGCGATAATTTCTATAGGCCAGTTAGGCACTTTCTGGGATGAGAGTAAACCGGCAGACTCGCGTCATGGAAGCACGCGTACCAGTGTAGGTATATCTATATTTATGTAAAAACTCCACAAACGATAAGATTTGCACAAAATTCTCAAACACACGACATGTTTCGCTAATACAGTAGCTTCGTCAGGTGGTATACTGGTACGGCCGAGGCAATTCAAAATATCTATTTATGTTGATACGCGATGGCGGTTATATATGTTCTCGAGTCATGAATAGCGTATAATACATGCATCGAAGTCACCGATAGTCGATCTGATCATATTGTGTTCTCGCTCGGATTACGAAAATCCTTCACATCATTTATAATACACAGGGTGAGTAATACTTTTGATGAGATGCAATTTGGAAGTTCTTAGTCGCAAATGTCAAATTTCTCTATCAATATTTTCATATTATATAACTTCATTCAGATTTCTCCGTATTGTCTAGTTGTCACTTCCGACTTGTGGTCCTACAAAAAATAGTGTATGAAACTATCATGATATTGAACTATCAATACACTCCTATATACATGGTTTCCTCGTGATCGTTGCATAGAATACTAATTCACGTTCGCAAAAATGCTGATGCTAATACCCTCCATAGAATTTATGTGAAAATTCTTATAACGATGAAGAACAATATTATGAGGTTCGTTTTCCTGTTGAAAGATGCCTTTTAATGAAAAATCGACCCCGTTTCATTTTGATAGAACCCCAGATACAGAATACCAGTCCAAATTTGGTAAAAATCGCACGACTAATAACTAAGATATAAGAGAGAATCGTTATTCCAAGTGTGGGACGCTGTATATGAAAAAAAAATCCATCTACTACGATGTGAAATTGCCATTTCAGAAATGATGCATCGTAATTTGTTGAAATTTTGCAGCTACGTTTCTCTATCGAAACTTCTCCAGATGGTTCCTTATGGAAAAAATCCAGATCCGGACATAGTAAAAATTCATGTTTTCCTGATTTTTAAAGAGTTCACTTTGTGATCACTGTTCGCGAGGATCTTTATCAGAATCAGAAAGATCTGACGAAATGCCATGAGGACTGCTCTTCATTTTCAGGGCACGACACTTTGACCGGTTCAATGAAGAAATATGAAACAATAACCTTCGAATGAACTTTCAATTTCGACCTGACTGATGAAGTAAACAGTACTTCCAACTGG